CTGGCCACCTCACCTGGCCTTGCGCGTGTGGGCGGGGCGGCCGGGGGTCGTGGGGCGCCTCCCTGCGGGCTGGCCGCTCCTGCGTCGCGCGTGTGATGGGGGCGGGGGGCTGATCCACGCACCCCCTCCCTGCCAGCCCTCGGGGCCCTTCCTTGGGGATCGCGCCAGAACCCCAGATCTGGGATTTTTGGCTTGATTGTTCGAGGGCTTTGTGGTTTGTCTGAGTTTCCGCTCTGGGTGGTTTCGGATCCTCTCGTGTGGAAGGCGGGTTGTCTGACTTTCACCAGATTTGCAGGTGCTGCTCCTGTCCTTGGCGGGGTCCCGGGAAGTGGGGGCGCTTCTCGGAGCCTCAGCATCCCTCGCAGGGCCTGGCCCCTCCCTGGCCTGGGCCCCTCCCGGCTGTCCCCGAGGGCGCCCCGCTTCCCGGTGCTGGGCTGGGCCTGGCCCGGGCCGGGCTGCGCCTCCTCAGAGCCCCGCCGCCCGCTGTGGCCGTGACTGGGAGGGGGTGCGGGGTGGGGGCACTGGCCACACCAGGGGAGTGTTGTCTGGATAAGTGGCTTTCGGGGGTGAAGTGGCCGCCGCAGCTGTGCGGTGAGCGGGGCGCAGATTCTGAAGCTGCCCTGCCGCGTTCCGGGCTGCAGGCCTCCGGCCTGGCCGGCGTGGGGGGCCGCGGGGGCCCCTCTACCCCTGTGTGTCGGCCCCCAGGCGACACCCCCCACCCACCTGGGGGCACGCGGGGTCAGGGGCAGACTTGCGGCTGGTGAGCCTGTGTGTTGTATCTGGGCTGAAGGCGCCAGGCGCCCCTTGCTGGCCCTCAGTGTTGCCCGCGGTTTGGCTCAGACCTGGGGTTACAGGAGGGGCGCCTCCTGGTGTCCTTGTGGGCTGGCGGCAGCAGGGCCATCCTGTCCTTGCGCTGCCTGTGTCCTCTCGCCCTGGCTTACCCGTGGTGCTGGGGTTGGGCTGGGGGGTGCAGGACCCTGACCTCAGGGCCCACGTGGGTGCCTCGCCCTCAGCAGGGGTGCAGACCTTGCGGGCCGGGCCCACCACCCCGCGTGTTGCATGGTGCTTCCTCCCCTGTCGGCTCTGCCGGGCCCCGCCCTCCGGGAGGCGTGGGCCAGAGGTGGTGGGCCGAGCCGGGGCCTGGGAGAGTCACAGGGCGCAAGGCGCGCAGATGAGGCCTGGCGGGTGGCGTGGGCCCTGCGTCAAAGGCAGAGGCTGTGCCTGAGGCCCTGGGCGGAGACCTCGGCCACTCTGGGGGTCACTCCAGGGCGGTTGACCGCGCTGGTGTTCAGGCCTCCACGTCCCTTTGCCTGTCTGTCACCAGCTTTCACGTCGGTGCTGGACCCCGTGGCGGGTCAGCCGCCCGTCCAAGTTTTAATTTCTTTCTGGAAGCTGCACTTCCCTTCCCGGCCTTGGAATGTGGCCTTGATCCCTCACCCGGACTGGGGCGGCCGAGGGGACAGCTGCTCTGCCTGGGGGCGGCGCGCCCTGGCCTGCTGCTGACAGGCGGGCTCTGCGGGGTCCCTGCATGGCCGGGCGCAGGCGTGGGGCGGCCCCTCTGAGGGGAGGTGCCCTCGGGTCTCCCTTGGGGAACACGCTTGGGGAGGCGAAGTGGGAGAGAGGAGGCGGCCTGGGGCTGCTTGCACGGTGGGCGGGGCCTGGGGGCGCGTCACCACCCTCTGTGCCGGTGGGGATCCCCCGGTCAGCCTGCCAGTCTCCTTTGCTCCTGTTTTTAAAGAACTTACTTATTTTCATATAGAGGGGAAGAGAGAGAGAGAGAGAGAGAGAGAGAAACATCGACGGGCGAGAGAAATAGCTGATCATTGCCTCTCGCACGCCCCCAGCTGGGGCCTGGCCCTGCAGCCTAGGCCCGCGCCCGGACTGGGAATCAAACCGGTGACTTTTCCCTTTGCGGGACGGTGCCCGACCCACGGAGCCACGCCGGGCAGGGCAGGGCAGGTCTCCTTTGCTCTTGTCCACACCTATGGTGTCGCTTCCTGTCTGGTGTAGTGCCCAGGGGACAGGCAAGGCCAGGCTTCTGATGGGTCCACCTTGGCCTGGTCCCTGTCTGAAGGGGTGACGCTGTGTGCGCTCCAGCACGAACCATGTGGCCTCTCTGCTCTGTTCACCGACCCAGAGGGGACAGGGCGGAGGTGGCCTGTGCAGTTTTATGGCCAGGGAGCCCTTTTAGCCTCCTTCTCTCCCGGGGTGGCGAACCAGGGACGTTTCCTTGCTGGCCGCTCTGGCGGGGTTGTGGGGGGGGGTCCTAGCACCTGGGATGGAAGGGGCTGTGGGCCCCCCCAACCTCTTATAGCCTGGCTGCCCTTCACCCTGCTGAGCTGGGGCTGGGGACAAAGAACAAGCTGGGAGGGAACTGTGAGAGGCGGGAGGTGGCTCTGCCACCCTGGCGGGGGGCACGTATTTGCAGGGCTCTGAGGCTGTGGGGCCATCGTCGCTTCAGCAGAGGTGTGGGGTGGCGTCCACCTTTGCAGAAGAGGGGAGCCCCCATTGCCCGTGCAGGCCCCGAGGCCCAGGGGTGCCCATCTTCCAGACCCATGCCAGGCGGTCCCTCTGAGCCTCGCAGACCCGGTCGTGTTGGTTCCCACCCGCTGAAGTGAAGCTGGGGGCAGGGAGCACTTCTGGCCGCAGTGGGGGGGCTCCCAGTGGCCTGCAGTGACCGCTGGCATCCAGGAGCGTGCGCGGGGCCAGGCCCGGAGCTCAGGGCTCGCGGTCTGTCTATTGGGACCACCCCTCCCCCCTGTCCGTCCCCCCCCCCCGTCTCCCACCTGCAGTGCCTGGAGGGCGCCAGGCGCTGCTCCTGGGCACCTGCCCCGGCACCGGGCTACGTCTTGCAGCTGTGGCTGGCCCTGGCTTCCTGCTCCGCCACAGGTTGGGGGAAGCTAAGGGCCAGGCCAGGCGTGTCCCTGCAGAGAGACATGCTTGTCTGTCCTCGAGCCCCCTGTCCCCAGGTCGTTTGCAGCCCCTGGCTGCCTCCTGCCCGTCCCCTGGCCCCCAGGCCATGGAGCAGCACCAGGTGCCGGCCGCCACCTCCCCACTGGGCGCGGGCGACCGGCAGTCGGCCGGTGCAGGTCTTGCCCCGTGTCTGGCGCCGGCCTGTGCACTATTTGTCTGACTCCGATCTTAGAGCCTCGTGGGGGGCAGGGCTGGGATGGGCACCTGGAGCAGCAGCCCCGAGAAACCGGGGGTTCTGGCAGGGCCTGCGAGGCCCCTGCAGGCGGCGGCGTTGGAGCAGAGCGGCCCGAAGGGGACAAGGGCGTGAGACCGCATGGGGCACTGCTATCGCAGCGGCCGGGATGGGGAGGTGAGTCACTGGCCACACTGGGCCCTGCTGGTCAGGGCAGGAGGGCACTTTGATGCTGAGCGACAGAGCCACGCGAGGGTCTTGAGTGGGGAGGGCAGACCCCCAAGGGGTTTCATGGAGATCCCAGCAGGAGGTGGCGGTGCTCAGACCAGACGCGGTCAGACTCTGGCCGAGTTGGCATTTGCCGACTTGCTGGACGAGGGCGCAGGGCAGCGAGGTGTTGCTGACCAGGTCTGTGCTGGGCTCAGTGGCTTTCTGGTGGTGAAGACCCAGCCTTGTGAGCACCAAGCGACACGGCCAACGTCCCTGCGGAGCCACCAGCCTGGGGCTGTGACATTGTGCTGACCTGGCCACTGGCCAGGGCTGGTGGGACCCAGGCCCATGAGAGGCGCCGGCTCACCGCAGGAGGGCGTGGGGGGCGGGGCGGCGCTCCCCAGGGGACAGACTGGGCGCCGGGGTGGGTGTTCGGGTTCCCCCAGGGGATCGGTGCGCAGGGCAGGCTTGCTTGGTGGGTGCGATGTGCCCGAGGGCTTGTTTGAGCCCCTTTCGCTCTGGGCTGCAGTGAGGAGACAGGGGGGTGCTCGTCAGTGTTTCACAACCAGCGCCCTGGGGCACAGACTTGATGGTGGCGCCGACGCCACTGCCGCACAGCACAGGCCACCAGGGGCGCTGACCGGCTCGGGAAATTATCCAGGTGGCGCCGATCTGCGTCTGCAAGTTGTGGCTGGTCGTCCCGGAAGCCGCCTGGCCCCTCACGTGGTGCCGCGGCCACCGGCCTTGACCCTCCTGAATGTAGTGACGAACGTAGTGACGACCACGAAAAGCTAAAATGCGCAGCCTATGCAGATGCCTCTGGCGTCGGCTCCACGCGCAACCCGTATCCACCGGGCCTGCAGGCGGGAGGGAGAACTGGTTCTCATCGTGGAGATGTGGGGGCGTCTTGTCCGTTCTCGCGCTGCGCGGCGCCTCGCCGGGCTCCATGGGTCCCCCGATGCCACCCGAGGCGACCGCGCTGCTTCCTGCGCCGCGCGCCAAGAGCGTCGGGAGGGCCGTGACCAGGGGAGGTTTGCCCCGCCCTCACCCCACCCCCGCCCTGCCAATCACTGGGCGCGCTGGCGCATCCCCGCCTTTCCCATTGGCTGCGGACCAGCGACGTCACAGCCTGGCTGGCGTCATAGACCCGCAGTCGTTCTAGGGTCTCGTGGTTGCGGCAGAACCTGGCTCGCCTCGTGGTGGGCAGCCGCGCTCTGGAGGGCTCTGCCGGCCGGGCTCGGCGCTGTCGGGGCCCACGTTGTTGCTCTCTAGCTGCGACGTTCCCTAAACAGCCGCCACAGCCGAGGACAGTGTCGCGCGAGCGCAGGCGGACGGTCGGCGGGCAGTGAGCCGCGTCGGGCGCCGGGCCCGGGGCCCCGCGCCCTGCCTGGGCGGCAGCCGCTTTCCCACCCTCGAGCTTCCTCGCCTGCCCAGGTGGCAGGCGCTCGTGTGATCGCCTGTCCCCCGTGTCTCCCTGCCCCGCAGCTTGACAGCGGCAGAGAGTGGTGGTGTGGCAGGTGAGGACTGGCTGGGCCAAGGCAGGCGGCTCCGCCGTGAGGACACGGGAGTGCGGGCTGGGCGGTGTGGGGTGGGGGGGGGCGGCGGGGCCTGGGTGACCGTCTTTCCTCTCCTGCCCTCTCCGCAGGCGCTGCGTGGTGGGGCCCGGAAACGGGATGTCGCGCCTCTGCGGGCGGCACAGAGGAAGCGAGGGCCTCCCTGCGCCGCTGCTGTGACGGCCAGTGAGCGAGCCGCCGGAGGATGTCCGCCACGACGACGGCCACCCCCCCGGGGATGCCGGCGGCCCCGGGCCCCGTGAACCCGCCCCCGCCGGAGGTCTCCAACCCCGCCAAGCCCGGCCGCAAGACCAACCAGCTGCAGTACATGCAGAACGTGGTGGTGAAGACGCTCTGGAAGCACCAGTTCGCCTGGCCCTTCTACCAGCCCGTGGACGCCATTAAGCTGAACCTGCCCGTGAGTGCGGGCGCCCTGACTCCTGGGAGGGCTGCCCTGCCGGCCGTCGCAGAGGCGGTGTCTGAGCTGTGGGCGGTGCCGGAGGGCCAGGCACAGCCCGAGCCTGTGGCGCGGGAATGGCTCGGAACCGCGGCGCCCAGGCAGGGGCTGCCCAGGGCTCTTCGAGGGGGGGCAGGGCGGTGCTGGCCTGCGGGTGCCGGAAGAACCCCCCCTCCCCCGCCCAGCCTTGTGTGCTCTCTGTGCCCCTGACGCCCCCTGCAGAGGTCAGGTGCGTTCTGGGGGGCCACCCCGGCTGGCGCTCAGTGGCTTATCAGTGGACCGTGCTAGAGAACCCCAAGTGTTGCAAGCTGTTAGCCCTTGGTAGTGGGGCTCTGGATCGAGCTGAGCCCCCGCTGCCCACGGGCCCTGGAGAGAGGTTTGGCTTCCGGCCGGGACTGGGCCCTGTCTCCAACGTGTAACCCGGCGCCAGCGCCCAGCTCCTTGCCTCTCTAAGGCCCAGCCCCCTCATGGGGCCCGCGGCGGCCCCTCCCGCCCCCACCCTGCCCTCGGGGCAGCCCCAGCCTCGGGCCCGCCCTGTCCCCAGCTTCTCCTGGAAGGCCAGGCCGCTGCTGCTCTGCCACCGCCCTGGGGCTCAGGGAGTAATGCCTCTGCGAATCTCTCCCCAGGATTATCATAAAATAATCAAGAGCCCGATGGACATGGGGACGATTAAGAAGAGGCTAGAGAACAATTATTACTGGAGTGCGAGTGAATGTATGCAGGACTTCAACACCATGTTTACAAATTGTTATATTTATAACAAGGTAAGAAGATGCGGGTGCCGTGGGCCCAGAAGACCCCTGCAAGCCGCCAGCCAGCCCAGGGCTGGCCCGGGGGCGGCTCGGTCGGGCTCCGTGTGCCATGTCCCCGTCCCCGCGCGCGATCCCCGCACGCGGGTCCTCCAAGAGCCATGGCCTCCTGTGGGCCAGGTCCCCAGTGGAGGAAGTGAGAGCATTTTCAGAAGAAAGTGACACAGGCCAAACCCTTGGAAACGTCCACATCCATGGCCGTGGGTGGTGTGGCTCAGTGGGGTGGGTGTCGTCCCACAAACCAAAGGGTTGCGGGTTCGATTCCTGGTCGGGGCGCCCACCTGGGCTGCAGCTTCGGTCCCGCTCAGGGCGCGTATGGATGGCAGCCGACCAGTGTTTCTTACGTTGGTGTTTCTCTCTCTCTCTCTTTCTCCGTTTCTCTCTCTAAAATCAAAAATTAAAATAAAAACTTAAGACACCCATACCTTGGACCTAGAAACCGTCCCTGTAGAGATAATGACAAGAGTCACTGCAGGCTGGCTCAGGTGGAAAGTTCCGAACCTTTCCCCTGCACAGCAGCTGGAGATGGCTGAACGCATTGTGATACCCACACGCAGCCATCCCAAGTGACGTGGCGCACCCCACAGCAAGGGGAAGTGTCCACGGAGGGCTTTCAGGGCGAGGAGCACACACCGGGGCTCCCTGGGGCACCCCCCCACATGCCCCTGCTGGGTGTGGGGTCTTTGTTTTAAGTGACATGGTAAAGGTGGATACCCGGGGCGCAGAGTGGAAGGCTCTCGTTCTGTCCCGTGGTAGGGAAGGGTGGTTTTCGGCCTCCGCGGTCTCCTGAGTCTTTTAAGGAAGCGTTTTCTCGAGCTAAGCCAGCTGTGTCTTCTGCAAGCGCCTGGCTCCTTCCGCAGCGTGTAACCTGCACTCTCCCGTGTCTTCAGCCCACAGACGACATAGTGCTAATGGCCCAAGCCTTAGAGAAAATTTTTCTGCAGAAAGTGGCCCAGATGCCCCAGGAGGAAGTTGAATTATTACCCCCCGCTCCAAAGGGCAAAGGCCGGAAGCCGGCTGCGGGAACCCAGAGTGCAGGTACAACAGGGGGTGGCTGTGGTCCTTCTGAGCTGCCGCCGCTGGCGGAGGCCGCGGTTCCTGGTGCAGGCCGTCGGGGCGGCCGTGAGGTGCCCCCCGGGAGCCGGGTCTCGGCTGCGGCCACGCGGGGTCTGGGGCGCGGTGGCCCCGGGTGGTCCCTCAGGCCTTCCGGGGGAGGCACGGTCCGGCCGTGTCCCCGCGCCGCTCCTGCGGCCCTGCTCTGAGCACGCCCCTCCTGGGGGCCTGGACGGAGGTCACGGGTGACCCACTTGTCCCCTGCCTGAGACCTGGCCGCTTTGGCCCTTGTGTTCTCCGTGGCAGGAGAGGGCTGTGTCACCTGCGGGGGAGCGTGGTGGGGGTGAGGTTAGCACGGGCGGCCCTGCGCCGCGGACGGAGGGCGCGCCGGGAGCGGCCCAGCCCGCGAGGGGCCGGGCCGGTGGCCAGCGCTGCTGATGTGCCGGTCTGCAGGCGGGGACTCGGGGTGGGCGAGCAGCTCCGTCCGGGTCGCTCAGCCGGTCACCGATGGGCCCGAGTTCACCTCGGTTTCTCGGGCGCAGGCCTGGCTCTCACCGTCCAGGCTGTGCGGCTTGCGCGAGCCCCTCCTGCAGACTTGGGTCCTGGCCAGAGGCGGGGGGCCTTGTGTCGGTGTGGTGGGCTCCGTGGAGGCGGCTTGAATGCTGGGCTGGCAGTCTCGGGAAGCGGGCTCTTCCGGCATCTGGACGCTTCGGAGGGGATGGTCCCAGAAGCTTCCAGAAGTGCTGCGTTTCCTCTGTCTGCCGAGCGAGCCTGGTCTGTTCAGCCTCCTTTCCTTGTCCTCAAGGTGCGCAGCAAGTGGCGGCCATGCCCTCTGTTTCCCCGGCGACCCCCTTCCAGAACGTCCCCCCTGCTGTCTCCCAGACGCCCGTCATTGCTGCCACCCCTGTGCCAACTATCACCGCAAACGTCACGTCGGTCCCGGTGCCCCCGGCTGCCGCCCCACCTCCTCCCGTGACACCGGTAGTCCCGGTGGTCCCTCCCACGCCGCCCGTCGTCAAGGTGAGCGGCCCCGGGGCTTGCGGTTGGCCTGGGTCCTAGCAGTGGTCGGGGTCCCGGCTTCGGGCAGGCATGGGGCAGGCCGGAGGGGGAGGGGCTGAGCCACCTGTCCCTGGCCGCGCGCCGCCTGTCGGGTGTCTGGGGCGCGTGACTTGGGAGTGATTCTTGCCGCGCTTTGCCTGGGGGGCTGGGCCGCCGTTGCTGACGCAGATGAGGAGACCGAGGCTCAGGGACCCGCGGGTCACACAGCTGGTGAGGGCAGGCTGCTCTCGGCCCCGCTTCTCGGCCCGAAACCCTGGCCTCTGCAGAGCGGCCCAGGTGGGGAAGGTAGTAAGAGCAGTGTGGGCGGGGTCCCCCCCACCCACTCGCGGGCGTTTCCGGCCATCGGCCTGGGGAGGGCAGTGGCCTGGCCGTGTCCTGTCCGTGTGTGGCCCCCTCCCGCCGTCTTGTGCCCTGTTGGCCTGAGCACCTGCATGTGCGTCTCCCGCTTGCCAGTCCCGGCCGGCCGGGGCTCCCGCGGGCTGCTCCCTGCCAGGTCTGGGCTGGCGAGGACACCGTTCCCGCGCGGCTCTGAGCAGGCCCCGTGCAGCCCCTGATGCGCCATCTTCTCCAATTTGACCCTCACAGCGACCCTCTGGGGCAGGCAGTGTTCCCCCATCTTACAGATGAGGAAGCAGGCGCTCAGAGGGGTTTATGGCTTCCCAAAGGTAACATGCCGCCTCCGCTGCTCCCCTCCCCCGGCCTTCACTGCCTGCACTTGCCGGAGGCGCCGGCCAGGCCGCGCCACAGTGCCTGGCTGTCTCGGGAGCATGCCGTTTGCCGTGGCCAGACAAGCCCCCGGGCCTCTGCGGCGCGCTTGGCCCCCGGGGGTGCCCGTGAAGCATTATGGGAGGCGGCCTGGTGGCGCCTAGACAGCAGGGCCCTGCGGGCGCCTGTGGCTCTGAGGGGCCCCGCTGCTTGCCGGGGCCGAGGCACTCGTGCCGGCTGAGCTGGTTTGGGGACGCTGAGCCTGGGCTCTGGAACCCGGGAGCGGCGCCCCAGGGCCTCATTGTCAGCCCCCAGGCCTGGGGAGGCCTGCGGGCCCGTCCGCCCGCCCTGACCTCCAGTCCGCCCACTCGCTGGGCACGCCCCCTGGGAGTGTCTGCCCTGGGCACACCCACTGAAGGCTCCGGGGGCGTTTAGTTTCCGTTTCTCCCCTGGCAGAGGCTCCCACTGCCTTTGGGGTCCAGTCCAGACCTGCCCCTTGCTCCGCCCTGCAGTCCTGGTCCCGAGCCTGCTGTTTCTGCCTGTGTCCTATCTCGCCCCCACCCAGCACGCCTCCCCCGCTCCTGCTCCAGACAGTTGTCCTTGGAGCACAGTTGTCAGGCTTGTGTGGGAGCTTCCCTCTGTCTCTGCCGTCCCCGAGCCCGAGTCCCGCTTGGTGGCATCTGGTCATGGTGCCCGCTCATCCTGAGTCCGGAGCCCCCGGCGCGGCGCGGGTGCTGGTTAGGTGCGGTGAACTGCATACTGCACCCCGGCTTGGGTGTGGGGACCGCGGACCGCGGAGCCATGGGGCAAAGGCAAAGGGCAGCTCGGGGTAGATTCCAAGTCTGTCCTCACCACTACCAGCTGTGTGACCTGGGCCGGCGACGTGGCCCCTCTGAGCCTCCGTCCCCCATTGCGCGGGGGCAGCTGGGAGGACGGCCGCGGCCGAGCTAGGCTCGGCCTTGCTCGGGGCGTGGCGGGTAGTCGGGGCTCCGCAGGCGCAGCAGTGGGCGTGGCCCTGGCACTCACGGGTTTTGCTGTCACAGAAAAAGGGCGTGAAGCGGAAAGCGGACACGACCACGCCCACGACGTCCGCCATCACCGCCAGCCGGAGCGAGTCGCCCCTGCCGCTGTCGGACCCCAAACAGGCCAAGGTCGTGGCGCGGAGGGAGAGCGGGGGCCGGCCCATCAAGCCGCCCAAGAAGGACCTGGAGGACGGGGAGGTGCCCCAGCACGCGGGCAAGAAGGGCAAACTGTCGGAGCACCTGCGGCACTGCGACAGCATCCTCAAGGAGCTGCTGTCCAAGAAGCACGCGGCCTACGCCTGGCCCTTCTACAAGCCGGTGGACGCCGAGGCCCTGGAGCTGCACGACTACCACGACATCATCAAGCACCCGATGGACCTCAGCACCGTCAAGGTCCGCGGGCGGGCGCTGGGCTCGGGCCCCCTTTCCTGGCGCTGCCCGCGTCCTGAGGGCGTGTCCTGGGGCTGGTGCCTCGGGCGGGTCTGGGCGGTTGGTGGCTCCCCGGGCCAGCCCCGCCTGGGCACCGGGGGTGTTCTGCACACTTGTCCCTGAATGTGCGGCGGCGGCGCCACCCCCTCCCTTGGCCCCGGTGGTGTCATGTCTTCGGGGGGCCGTCCCGCCCCCGTTCCTCATCTGGAGGTTCCTGTCCTGTCAGGCCCTCCTGCCGCCTTCCGTGGAGCGGCAGTGGGGAGCGCAGGGCGGGGAGGGACTTGGTGTCCCCGCTGCGGTCAGGCGGCCTGGGCGGGCCTCCGTCTGGCCTTCTGGGCCGGCGGCGGGGCGGCTTCCTCGCCTGCTTCCCTGGACGGGGTCAGCGCTGCCCCTGCTGGGGGCCTGGCGACAGCAGCTGCTCCTGTCCGGGCCGCGGTCCCCCGTGTGGGTGAAGTGCGGGGAGCGGGCCCCGTCACAGTTCGGGCAGAGCAGAGGCAGGTGGGCGGGGGGCCCCACCTCGTCTGCCGCTGACCCTCTGGCCAGTCCCAATTCTTGGGAGTGAGTGGTTTAGTTTTTTCTGAGTTCGCCTCCAGCCCTGGTCAGCTCTCTCAGGGCAGGTTTTGACCGTGGGGGCAGCGGGAGCGTGGGCTGCGGGGCCCTGGCTCGGGGCTGACAGCTGTCGGCTGGCCCTCAGCTCCTGTCTCACTGCCCTGCCAGGCCCACGTCCCCTCGAGACAGGACTTGGCCTGGACCTGGGGAGCAAGGGGACGCAGGGACGGGGCCTCCGAAAAAGGGGAGTGTTCTCGCACTCCTGCCCTTGGCCCCGGGGGGCGGGGGGCGGGCCTGAGGGTGCTGCCGTGCAGGGCGCCCTCTTGAAGCCTTAAGCCGCGCCTGCGGGGGAGGGGCGTCCCTCCGCTAGGAATGTCCCCGCACCTTTATTAGCTTTCTTTCTGTCCTTAGCCGCCACCTGCAGTGTCCGTAGCTGGCGGCGCGTCTGTCTCATGTCCCCCGCTCTCCCCGCTGGGGCAGCCCGGTGCCTCTGCGAGGGGCGAGGGGCTGGCTGGCAGCCCCTGGGTTTTCATGGGGGGAAAAACAAACTTTTGGAGAATCCAGTGGACCCCTGGAGCCGGCGGAGTGCTTTCCCGGAAGCTCCTCTTCCCCTGGAGCCCCTCCCCTCGGGGACCTTGGCATGTGACAGGTGACCCTGGAGCCGAGCTGGAAGCTTTGGGAAAAGAAGGGGTGAAGTGGTGGCCGGGCTGCAGGAGCCAGACTTCCTGTTGAGCGCTGTTCCCCCCGGGGCATCCCGACCACCCCCCCCTTGCAGGCCTCTGCCCCGTCCTGCCTGCTCCCTGGGCTCCTGGGCCACAGGTCTCGGGGGCTGGCGGCGCCGTGCGGGGGTCTGCGTCCGAGCGCGCAGGGTCGGCTGGGACGGGGGTGCCGGGCAGTGCCCCTCACGCCCTGGCCCTTCTGTGTTACAGAAAAAGATGGACAGCCGCGAGTACCCGGACGCACAGGGCTTTGCAGCCGACATCCGGTTAATGTTCTCCAACTGCTACAAGTACAACCCGCCAGACCACGAGGTGGTGGCCATGGCCCGGAAGCTGCAGGTAACCTGAGGTGCTCTCAGGGGGCGGGGCCTGCGGAGCACAGGTGGGATCGGCAGTCCCGGGTTGGGCCCTGGGAGAGACAGGCATCTCTGGAGGCCAGGTGCGGGGGGGGGGGGGGGGCCCTTATCTACGCAGCCCTTTTGTCCTGATGGCCCTCGGGGACTTGGTGACAAACGGGCCCCGCCCCTCTGCCTTCTGGGAGCTGCAGCTCCCGGCTGGGGTGGGCAGCGAGCAGGACGTTCCTCCAAACGCTGGGGGAGGGGTCGCCAGTGGCTGCTTTCCAGCAGCCTCACCGACTGCGGGGTCCGGCACGGCCCGGTGCAGGGGTTGTGCTGCAAGCCCGTCAGGAAGGGGGCTCCCGGCGACAGTGACCGCTGAAGCCGGCGCTCAGCTGTTTGGCCGCAGAGGCCAAGAACCCGCACGAGCGACATCTGTGCGGTGATCGGGCCGGGTGTGTGCACCGGGCAGGCCAGGTTGTCCCTGGGAGCATCTGTGCGCCTCCGGGGACGTCAACAGCCTTGGAGAGAAGCCTCGGGCCAGGGCCCAGAGTGGGCGGCTCTGGGAGCCGGGGCCGCGCCCAAGGGGTCGCAGCTTGTGGGCGCAAACCCAGGTGGATTTGGCCACAGACGGGGCAAAGAGGAGTCTCCCCACGCGGCCTCCTGGTCGCTCCTCCCCGTCGGACGGTGACCAGGGAGGGGATCTTCACTGACAGTGCTCCTGGGGCCCGGGTCCTGCTGGGTGGGGCCCTCGGCAGGCCTCCTGAGACCAGTCCTGATAGGACCTTTGCCTTTTAAAGGGGGGCGTCCGGACCGGACCGGCGCTGCAGTGCTGCTGCAGAGCGAAGGCGTGGGGGCCGGGGCCCACAGTGCGCTGGAGTGCCAGGGACAGCGCTCCCGCTGCGCGGCTCCAGGGGGCCGCCCCCGGGGCCTCGGACAGGCCGGCGGGAGGCATGCGTGGTTGCTGGGGGGGCCGGCAGGCCACGTCCCTGGCGGCTGGCCGCGTCTGAGGCTGTTGGCCCCGCGCCCTCTGCCTAGAGAGGGAGGAGTCCAGCCTGGCCGCTGCCTCGCAGGGCCTGACCTGCGCAGCCTCCCTGTGGGTCTGAGGGCATCTTGGGCAGCCGGGGGCCCTTCTGAGGGGCTGCTCCGGGGGCGTTCGGGACCTCAGGCGGCCTCTGCTCTTCCACAGGACGTGTTTGAGATGCGGTTTGCCAAGATGCCGGACGAGCCGGCAGAGGTACCCACGGTGCCCGCCCCCGCAGCCCCGGCGGTGAGCAAGGGCACGGAGAGCAGCCGCAGCAGCGAGGAGAGCTCCTCGGACTCGGGCAGCTCGGACTCGGAGGAGGAGCGGGCCACCAGGCTGGCGGAGCTGCAGGAGCAGGTGAGCGCCCCCGCCCCCGCTTGTGAGGGGCCCTCTTGGCGGGGCCTGGGGGCCTCTGCTGCCCCGGAAGGGCCTGGCGGGGAGGCCGTGGCAGGGGCAACCGTGTGGCCCAGCAGCCTGAGGCGCAGCGCGGCCTCCCTGGGCACGCGGCTGTCCCGCCCCGGCCCTGCCGCCGAGGCTCCCTCCAGCGTGCGGCGTTTGCGGTGAACTGAGTGACGCCTGGCGGCCAGCCCATGCTGGGGCTTCCGGCGGGGACAGGAGAGAGCAGAGTGGACTTGGACCTGGACCTCGTTAGACGTGACCCTGTCAGAAGGAGGCTTCGGTGCAGGGGCCGCACCGGCCGGAGGCCTGTCGGCCCACCCGCCCACCCGCCGGGCCTGGGGCACAGTCGGCCCTCACGCCACCGGGCACCGTCTGCACTGGGGCGCGCCGGCCTCTAGACCTGCTGTTCGGTCGTCTGCTTTGTGCCACCGGTTAAGCCTGTGTTCCCTTCGTCTGAGAAATAAAACTAACGAGAAAAATGGCGCGTGCCCCGGGCTGAGTGTTTATTTCGCCAGGCTGGTCTTACCGCTGTCCGAGCCGCCTGTGACCAGGCACCTTCCCTGCCACTTCCCTGGGGGCCAGCAGCCACAGAGGGCAGTGGGGGCGCGGCACAGTCCTGGGCCTGTCGCAGGGTCCCCGAGGCGCCCTGCGGCCCCCCTCAGCCGCCCGCTCTCTTCCAGCTGAAGGCCGTGCACGAGCAGCTGGCCGCCCTGTCTCAGGCCCCCGTGAACAAGCCAAAGAGGAAGAAGGAGAAGAAGGAGAAGGAGAAGAGGAAGAAGGACAAGGACAAGGACAAGGAGCGGCACAAGGCCAGGTCCGAGGATGAGAAGAAGGCCAAGGCTGCCCCGCCCACCAAGCAGGCCCAGCAGAAGAAGGCGCCCACCAAGAAGGCCAACAGCACAACCGCGGCCAGCAGGTGGGCCCTGGCCAGCCCAGCGCCACGCGCCACGGGGGCTCCGGGGGCCGGGGGCCGACCCCCGGGCAGCAGGGCAGGGGGCCCATGGTCCTTGCCCGCCACCTGGAAAGGCGGCTGGGAGCGAGGCGGCCGTGGGGGGCGCCGCTGAGCTCTCCATGGGGCTGGCCTCTGTGCCAGGCCCTGGACCGGCCCCGCTGTCTGGCGGAGACCTTGTATCTTAAGGTTTTGGGGACACTTTTCCTCACGTGGGCTCAGGAGATTAATTTGAGGACATTGGGCTTGGTCACGTGGGCTCTTGGCACTTCACTCCCGCCAGCCTGGTAGGTAGAGGGTGGCTGTGGCACAGGTCAGTTCCGCAGTCCGTCCCCCGTGACCAGACGCGGCCACAAACCAGCAAGGCCGACGGTGGGCAGAGCGGGGTGGGGAAGTCGCCCCAGGTCCCGGGCGCCTGTCAAGGCTGCCCCAGGGGTGGGGTGGGTGCACAGGGGCCAACTCGTCCCCAGAGGGCAGGGCGTGGTTCCGAGAACCGGCAGGCAGCGCCCGGTCGGCGCCCTGGAGACCAGCAGACATGCCCCTTGCGGGGATTCGGGCGAGTGGGCGCCCGAGGTGGGGAGAGGGTGGGCTGAGGTGGCTGAGGTTGGCTGGCTTTGTGGGTGTGTTTGCATTTTGTCCTCTGAGCAAATGAAGGGGGTCGTGGCATGTTTGAAAGGGGTCAGATCCTGGCCTGTTGGCGGGAGCGAGTGGGAGAAAGGCCGCACTTCTGGAGGTGACTGTGGTCCAGCAGGCGGCGGGGGCGGGGGCTCGGAGAGCGTGTGGGCGGCAGGAGGCCCGGGGCGGGGGGGCGCCCCGGCCGTGGGGGAGGCGCAGGCCAGAGGGCAGGCGGTGGCAAAGGCCAGGGCTGTTGCCCCCTCGTTCTCTCCTTCCTGGAAGGGGAGGGGAGTCAGGGTTTCTTGCGCTGTCTCTGTCCAGGCTTGGTGTTGGGGTGGCACCGCCCCTCCTTGTCCCACCCTGGGGCAGGTGTTCGGGGCTGGTGTTAGCTCTTGCACACTTGGGGCCTCCCCGCTGGGACAGCCTGGGCCTGGAGCCTAATCGTTGGAAGATGTTAACCGCGAATTCAGTTCTCTTCTCGGAGGGAGGGTAAGTCAGGCAGCGAGTTTGTTCTTGGGTGAGTTTGGGGCGTCCATGCCCTCTGAAAGCGTTTCACCGGAGGTGCGGGAGGCACGAGCAGAGGCGTGTGCACGCCGCCCTCCGACCGTCTTCACGTTGCAGGGCCTGGGCTGGCTGTCCATGCTCGTTCCTGACACCGGTCAGTTGTGTCTTTTTCCTGGTGAGTTTGGACAGAGATGGATCAGTTTTGCTGCTTGCTCTGATGTCACTTGGTTTTCTCTGCACTTTTTCCCTTTCTCCTCTTATTTCTACTGTTTCCTGTTACTGGCTTTGGAATTAAGCTGCTCTCCTTTCTCTGGCTGCTTCAAGGAGCAGCGCAGGCCCATTCAGAGACCTTCTTTTGTAGTTAACGCTGCGCAGCTCTGCCTGCGCACAGCGTAGGCCAGGGGCTGCGCGCCCAGGGCCTTGGGTTCGCCTTGGGTTCAGAACCGTCGCTCGTTCCCCTTCGGGCTTTCCTTTTGACCGTGGGCCCCTAAGCAGTGTGTTGTCTAATTCCGAAATATCTGCGGATTTTTTTAGAAACGTTTCAGTTACGGGTTTCGGCAAGCAGCGCTTTCACGTTTGTTAGGATTTACTTTACGGCCCGGGGTGCGGCGTAATGCCGGCTGGGGGCAGCCTCCCACAGACGGGAGCCTGCGGGTCAGCCTGGCTTGGTAGCGGGTCGTGGGGTCTTCTCTGTTGCTGATTTACCTGTCTTACTAGTTACCGAGAGGAAATTGCTGAGTTCTCCGGCTGCCCTTGGGCCTCCCCGCCCTCCCTTCAGTCCTGCTGGTTTTTGCTTCACGTATTTGGAAGCTGGGTGTTTAGATGCACACACATGTCAGGTGTGACATCCTCTGGGTCATCTGAATCCTTTGTCATTACGCAGGTGTCCCTCTTTTTCCTGGAACGGTCCCTCTTTGAGGTCTGCTTTGTCTGAAATGAATTGACTGCAGCTTCCTTTTGACGGGCATTTGCGTGGTTGATTTCTTTCCCCTCTTTCGTAGCCTCTTTCTGTCTTTTTTAAGGTTTACTTACTTTTAGAGAGAAGAGACAGAGAGAAGCGTCCCTGTGTGGCTGCCTCTCGCATGCCCCTCACTGGGGACCTGTCCCGCAGCCCAGGCCTGGGCTCTGACCGGGAACCGAGCCGGCGACCTTTGGTTCGCAGGCCGGCGCTCAGTCCGCGGAGCCGCACGAGCCGGGGCCTGCCGTTACATTTAAAGCGGGGTTTGTGTAGATAGCATCCAAGTTGGGTCTTGTTTCTCACTCAACCTGCTCATCTCTTTCTTCTCATTGGTGTTTCCGGACCATCTGTATTTAATGGAATGACCGACCTGCTTGGATTTTGGTTCACCAGTTTGTTGTACCCTGTCTGTCCCTCTGTTTTTGATTTTTCTGTCCCTCTGCCTGCTGCCTTGTGGATGACAGAGACCGGTTTTGACCTTTTGAGTCTGAGACGCCCATGGGGGCACGGTGGGCAGTTGCTTCTTCACTGAGGCCTGGGAACCGCCCGGCCAGGGGCATCCTCGGCTCTTACCTGGGGGCAGGGTCTGCCATGTGCTGCCTGGTAGGAGGTCCTGGTCCTGGAGAGGAACGCCCCGGGGAACTGGATGGGGCGGCGGCCCTGGGCCCCGGGGCTGCGTGGGGGCGGGGCCAGGGGCCCAGGGGTCCGCGCCGCGACGCGGTTCGCCTTCTGCCTCAGACAGCCGAAGAAGGGCGGCAAGCAGGCCTCGGCCTCCTACGACTCGGACGAGGAGGAGGAGGGCCTGCCCATGAGCTACGACGAGAAGCGCCAGCTGAGCCTGGACATCAACCGGCTGCCCGGGGAGAAGCTGGGCCGCGTGGTGCACATCATCCAGTCGCGGGAGCCCTCGCTCCGGGACTCCAACCCCGACGAGATCGAGATCGACTTCGAGACCCTGAAACCCACCACCCTGCGGGAGCTCGAGAGATACGTCAAGTCCTGTTTGCAGAAGAAGCAGAGGAAGCCGTTCTGTGAGTCGTCGCCTGGGGCTTGGCGCCCGCAGTCCCCCCTGCCCTCCAGGGGGGGGCCAGGCAGTCCCTTGCCCCGGTCCCCCCTGTCTGTGCTCGGCTGGGAACTGCGTGCGGGGCCGAGGCCCAGCCCCACCCCAGCCAGGTGGGCAGCCCGGACCCCTGCTTGGCCACAAGCCCCCACTCACTCGAGTGCACTTACGGTCTTCGCCCCCCCTTTCCTGAGTCTGTGGGGCCCCTGCTGGGGTAACCAGCTCCCTTTTGCCTGGGGTCGACAGTCCAGAAGCCTCCTGGGAGGGACATGGCGCTGGCCCGGGCTCACCGGCTGGGAACCAGGGCCCCGGGGAGCGAGAGGAAGGGCAGGTCTGAGGCAGCCGCGAGGTAGCAGGAGGACAGGGCGGCTGAGACCCCCCCAGGACCCCGGAGCCTGTGTGTGGCCCCCCGGGGGCAAGGGGTCCTCCCCTGCTCTGAGGGGGCAGCTGCTTTCTCCTGGGGGCAGTGGTTTGTGATCCTCTGCAGTCCCCCCTGGCCTCAGGTGGTGGACTGGGTCCCCGGCGGCGGCTGGGCACTGCTCTGGCATGGCAACACGGAGAACCCTGAGTTGGACGGTCGGGGCTTCACGCCAGGCCCTGCGTTTCCACGGGCGTGTCACCGAGCCACACGGGGCCTGACCGCGCTTGTGTCTCGGGGGTTTTGTGGGAGAGAGGCCCGGCTGCATGTGCACCGGTGCGGGGCCTGCCGGCAGCCCTGGGGGCCAGGCGGGGGTTGAGAAGGCCCAGGAAGCGGGCGGGAGGGGGTGGCAGCGCGGGGGAGGCCAGCTGCGTGCCACTCCTCCGCCCTCCGTCTCAGCTCCTCCTCCCTCCACAGCGGCGAGCGGGAAGAAGCAGGCAGCCAAGTCAAAGGAGGAGTTAGCTCAGGAAAAGAAGAAGGAGCTGGAGAAGAGGCTGCAGGACGTCAGCGGGCAGCTGAGCAACAGGAAGCCTGCCAAGAAAGGTACTCGCCTGCGGCGGCCTCGCGGCAGCACCGCGCAGCCCCCCTGTCCAGAGGGGGCAGGGCCGGGCAGGGCCGTGGGCGGCAGACCCAGGCCGGCGTCAGGGGCCGCCCCGCGCCCCGGGACCCCAGTTTCCTGGTCTGTAAACCGGGGGCAGAAGCCCAGCCCGCGGGGAGGGTGAGCCGGTGGGCGCCACGTTCCCCGGCGAGGGCTCCTGGGAAGGCCCGGATGTGTTGTTTGGGGGCTGGACCCCGAGCTCGGGGGACGTCAGGCCGACCCCCAGGCCCCTGCAGCGAGCTCCCTGGCTGCCCCCCAGTTGTGGCGCGGGCTCCCAGCCTGTGACCCCACGTCCCCGCAGGGGCGGCTCTGCGCGCCAGCCCAGGCCAGTGCTGCGTGCGCTGCAGGTCTGTCTTCCGGGCAGCCGGTTTGCCTGCCGCCGTTCTCTGGGCCCCGGGAGGGGCGGCGGGGAGGGGTGGGGGTGGTCAGCTCCCATGATTGTGTGTCAGCTGGCGCTGCGGCCCTGCCAGGCCCTGCTGCCTAGTGCCGACTGCGCGCCGCTCTGCCTGTGCCCTGAAGGCTGGGGGCTCCCCTCCGGTCAGCCCCCGGGAGGGCGGGGCGGGGGGGGGGGTGGCCCGTCGCTGCTGCCTGCTGCCACCTGACAACAGGGTGTCTCCGTGTGTTCCTGGGTGGGGATGCTCAGCCCCCACCCTCTTCCCATCAGCTCCTCCTAGTGGATTGCCTTCGTTTTTTCCATCTCCCGTGCATTAGATGGGTGTCCAGGAGCTCCGGTCAGTTCTGACACCATCTGCTCAGGGTTAGCGGCCCCCCCCCCCCCGCCCCCACAAGAGCACCCGCGCCTCGGGTCTGGGGCAAGTCCGGTGCTGCCCATGGGTTCCCACGCTCCCGCCTCAGTTCAGGCGGGAGCCAGAGCTGCGCAGGAGAGCCCGTTGCTTGCTGTTAGGGTCGTACTGAAAAGGCTGACCAGGAACCGTGGCCCTGGCTAAGAGGGGCCCATGTCCGCGGCGGACCGAGAGCTGCCCCGCCCACCCGGCCGGCGCCTGCGCGTGCGCCCGCCTCCCAAGGGCTTGCTCTTCCGGCACCAGCGGCCTCCTGTGGCTGCCTGGGGGCCCCAGCCTGGCCATTCATTAGCATAAAGTCAGGTGTGGACCATAGGAGCTGCTTATAAATAACAGGCATTCTTCCCCACCCCCGGAAATTTCGGGGGTCTGAGGAGCTGCTGCCAGGGCCCACAACAGACCCCAAATAGATGCCTTCCAATGAGACAGACCCGAAGTAGACGCCTTCGCGTACCGCGGTCCCATAACGCGTCAGTCCACTTAGATTTATGGTGTTCAGGTTTATTAAGTGAGCGGGCCAAGGAGTGGGTGGGTAGGGGGCGAGGCGGGCGGGGCGGCGGGGCCTGCGGGGAGTGAGTGGGCGGGGAGTGAGTGGGCGGGGCTGGCAGGTGGGTGGAGCCAGGGGAAAGGCGGGCGCGAGCGCGCCCCTCACCTCCGCGTCTCCCCCAGAGAAATCGGGTGCGGCGCCCCCCGGAGGGCCTTCCCGGCTCAGCAGCAGCAGCTCCTCCGAGTCCGGGAGCAGCACCTCCAGCGGATCGAGCTCGGACAGCAGTGACTCGGAGTGAAGTTGGGCTCGGCCGGCGCTCAGCCCCGCGGCGCCGCGCGCTCGTGCCCGCCCGCCCGCCCACCCGCCGGCCTCCGCAGTGTTCCCTCCCGGATAATATACTACTACTTTTGTTCATGGTGTGCAGGTTTCTTTTTAATCCAGTGTTACGGTATCTTCCCGTTTTGCTTTAATAGGTCAGAGGTCTTTTGTCGTGTGTACACTAGACTTTACGAGCAGGTGTGAGTCTGCATAAAGTCTTTCCTTCGCCACTGAATCCGATCGCTTGGAGGTGACAACTCCAGACGCTAACCTGGTAACCGTAGGAAACCGCGGAAGATGTCCTCGAACGCGCCTGCAAACCCCTTTCCTTAGGCCCAGCCCGGTCCGCAAAGAACGATTTCAAAGGCCCCTTCTCCAGGGCGGCTTTGTGTTGGGGAGCCGGTGCCTTCCCAAGCCGGCGGCGGTGGCGGCGGCCTCCCTTGAGCCCTGGGCTCCGACCCTGCCGTCCGAGGGCACCTCCTCCGGGGCCGAGGACCGCGCACCCGCGGAGCTGCCCGGCCGGGCGGGCGGGCGCGCGGACAGGTGCAGGTGCCTCTGACCTTTGCGGTCCAGAGCTCCCAGCGGGAGCGCAGTGGCTGCGTGTGCAGCGGGCAGGTTTCCAGACACTGAAACTTTTACCTCAACTTAAAAAAAAAAAAAAAGGATTAAAAAAAAAGGAGACTTTTTTTGTAAGGTTCAGCAATTTTCTACGAAAGTCCAGCCCCGTGTGTGTGTCCCCACCTCGTCGTTAGCGCTGCCGCGGCCGCACACTCCGGAACCATTTTCCCAAGTCCATGTATATATGAATACTTTATTTATTAACACCATTGGTCATTTTTTTTAAAAAAAAAAAAGAAAGAAAAGAAAAACAGAACAAAAGAAATGCATTAAAAACATGGCCGAGATGCAGGCCTCCCGCGAGGGTGGCAGGAGAGCCGCGGTCCGTTCCCCCCCCCCCCCCCCCCCCCCCCCCCGGTGCTAACCTCCCGACCCGCCGGTGCTCAGTCCCGCCCGTGCTCCCGCCGGGCGCTGGGGCTCCGTCGTCGTCCCGTGCGTGTGCGTGTGTGCGTGGGTGCGTGGGTGACGTGTGGAGACCTGCAGGCATAGACAACTTCCCGCTGCAGCACGCTGTTCATTGGGTTTGTTTAGTTGTTTTGTATTCTCGTCTCTCTCTCTAGGGCTGTTTTCAAAGAAACCGATTTAGGGAACCCCAGTTATATAATATAAACTTTGTAACCTGAGAGGAAAAAAATGTATAGTAAATCTAAGTCTTGATTTTTAACTTTCTATTGTAAAAAAAAATATTAATAATATACAGAGTTTAACAGAAGGTTATGTTTTGGTTTTGTTTTTTCCAGAGGCTAAACCACATGGCCTTTGAGTGCAGGGAGGCCCCCTCCCCGCTGCCTGCCCAGCCCCCCGGCCGCGGCTGGGGTGCCCGGTCCCCTCCCCGCCGCCCCGTGCAGTCTTCCAGCCACCAGCGGGGCCTGGCCAGGCGCGCTTGGCACGTCCCTCCCCCGGGGCGAAGGGCCTCTGGCCCCAGGAAGGTCCCTCGCTGAGGACCACACAGGGCCCCCGCCCAAGCGTTTTCCGTTGAGCACCGAAATGGCCGGATCAGGGCGCTTCCCGGCCCGCCCTGTGGCTCCTTGCGGAGTGGGCGCCGACCTGGCCTTGGGTCCGGCGGCGAGTGCCTCCCACACTCCTGGCTGGTTAGGGGAGCTAGTCAGCAGCATCCTGATAGGTGGCGATTTTTAAAAAAGTCCTGAGGCCGACTCAGATCGCACCGACCCCCAGGGCTGCGGGTGCCTGGTGGAGACGGCTGTGGTGAGGGCGTGGGTGGTGGGCGCCGCCGCTCCTCCCGCCGGCGATCCTGACACTGGGTGAGTTTTGAGCCAGTTTGTTAAACTTTTAGGTTTTGTTTGTAATAAACATATAAGTGGATTTTAAACTTGCCATTTTTTAAAGTTACCCTTGTTTTTCAAAGGTGTTTTCTAAACAGGTCTTTAATGGCATATTTAAACTAGGACTAAGGAGTTGGTACAGCAGCTCAACAGGTCTCACGGGGGCCCGCGTGGGTGCATGCAGCCCGCCCAGTGTGGTGCCTGGGGCGGGCCCTGTGGCGCGCCGGTCCAGCGTGGGGCGCGGAGGGCTGCCAGTGAGCGGCAGCGGGAGGAACACCGGCCCTCGCGGCGAGCACAGTGGGAGCCCGGCAGAGCGCGTCCCTGTCTGCGGGTCCCACGCGCTGCTGTGGACTCTCGGACGTGCCGTTGCCCGGACAGAGGCCGCTGGCTTCGCGAGCTCCCGGGGGGCGGCCATCCCCACAGGGCAGCCACGGGCTGTTGGTGCTGCAGCTTCTGAGGCTTTCGGTCCAGACTTCACCCCGGTCTCCCATCAGCCTGGGGCGCCTCCTCCCTCCCGGAGTGCGCCCGTGGCTGTAGGTCGCTTCCATCCGCACTGGGAAGGCGGCAGCTGGACAGCCGGGGGGCCCCAGCGCCGGGAACTGCAGGGCGGCGCCCCTGCGCCGCTTCCCCGGGAAGGGCCGGCCGGGAAGGGCCGGCCGTGCGGGGGAGGGCTTCGGACGCGCGCTCAGTGGCTGTGACCGCGTGGACTGCGGGCCGCCTGCGGCACCGTCCGGCTTACACACCGTAAGACACGTTTTCTTTCTGTTTTCGTTCCTGTTCTTTTGCTAACTCACATCCTCGCCCGTCGTGCGGGGGAGGAACAGCCCCCGTGGTGCGGACCCGTCGTGTCCAGAGCAGGGCTGCTCCTTCACACGTGTGACGCTTCCAGGACGTTTTCCTTTTTTTATATTTAAAATGTTACTTTTCTGTATGATGTGCATGCCAGTTTACCGTAACTTTTCTTAAACTTTTTAGTGCCGTTTCTAGTATATTCCTGTAAATGTCAGTTACTGAAAATGAGTCCAATGTAAGTAGTTTTAGCTTGTTTATTGCAATGCTGGCCTCAACACAACCGAATAAAAATGGTAGAAAGTACTCTTTGATGTTTCTGGTAATCATGGACCCTTCTCCTGGGCATTTGTTTTGTTTTCATAATAAAAGCAAAAGAAAAAAAAAAAGATGCCCGTGTGTGCCTTGTGCTTTCGGGGCTGCTCCCTGCTCACCGCCTGCGGGCGCAGGCTTGGCGGGGACGTCCCACCGGAGTCTCTGAAAGGGGTCCTGGAGCCGTGTCGGGGGCTCGGCCTGGGCCTGGGCCAGGGGCAGCAGGGATGAGGGAGCGTCGTTTTTTGGCCAAAGAAAGCTCACAGCCCCGACCCTCTCCGGGGCGCTGGCCCTCGCAGCGGCGCGGGCTCCCTGCCTCCCCATCCTCGCTCAGCGCCCTCTGCCCTGGGAAGAGCCGTCCCTCCTGCGCCTCAGGCTGTGCTCAGGTGGCCCGAGTGGTTCCCGGGACTTAGGCACCAAGCACTCGCCCGGTGGATGTTTCCCTGCACCCATGTCAAGTAGGTTCAGGTACCGAGGTCCCCACTGCCCAGCTTCAGGGGGGAAGAACGAGGCCTCGTGACAAATGAGGGCTTTGACACCATTTTCGAAACGCTGCCGTCCTGGGGAAAGGTTCTCACCCAAGTTCCAGCCTGATGACACCACCCCCAGGCCGCTCGTAGGCACCCCGCCTGTGTTCCCTCGGCCTGTGTCGCCCCCGTGCGGACTCAGCCCCTCTCATCGGGCCGCCTCCCCGAGGACAGGGCTGGCTGTGTGCCAGGGTAACCTCAGGCAGGTGGCGTCTGCCTGCTCTCCAAGCCGCTAAGTGGCAGCTGTCCTGCGAGGGCCCTAGTGCGGGGTCGCCTGCCAGGCACTGCCTCTGAGCCCGGGGCCGGCCCAGGTGCTGTCCCGGCAGAGGCCCTGCTCGGGGTGGAGGGGCCGGGCTCCCCTCCGCCGCGTGCAGGGGACCGAGCAGGGGGATGTCAGGCGTCCCGGCGGACGCGGCACCCTGGCCGAGGGTCCCTCAGCGAGGACTCTAGGCCTTGGGCCGGGCGTGAGCGCATGGGGACGGCGGCATGGCCCCACAGCGCCCCTTCTGGCATGTCGGTTGTCACAAGTTTGTCCAGCTGCCCAAGGAACTGCCCAGCGACAGCGTGGGCACCTCATAGCAACACTGCTGGCCAGGCAGCCGGAGCACACGCGTAAATGCTAAGCGAGAACAAAACGGTGCACAGGGCTCCCACCGCTGTGCACGTGGCTGCACAACGGCGGCTGCACGTCTGGGGCAGGGGCACCGCTCCTTCGCCTGCACGTCGCTGTGCTGGGGTCCAGCGATCGTTCGACACGGCTGGAAGCGGAAAGCCAAGGCACCAGTTCGGGATCAAACATAAAAATAAGAGCATGAGGAGAGTCCTAAAGCCTTTATTACACAAAGCGAGTGAAGAGAAGGCAGCTCTGACCAAAGGTACCTCCCTGCTCCCGAGCCACGCGGACTCCGTTACAGCAGACGGCATGTCCTTCCTCAGTGACCCGATGGCCCGCTCGTGGGGCATCGGCTGCCTGTGCGCGGCGCTGACCGGACCCCAGGCCCTGCAGGCGGTGGGGGGCTGCCGCCACCGCCGCCCCGGGGCTGAGACACTGTCCCTTGAGAGCCTGCCTTTCCCGGCCCGGCGGTCAAATCCGAAGTCCCTGTAAGCAACCGATGGGCGCTCGGAAGCGATTCTAGGTTTCCTCAGCGTGTTCTGGGCGCGCCACCTGCCAGTCCTCGGGCGCGTGGAAGCTCGTGTGGAACCTGCCCAGCGCCTTGCACCCGATGGCCTTTTTGATGGCCAGATTCTAAACGCAGATGCGACAAGTTCTGGCTGAAACGCATTGCTGACGGTTTAAGTTACATTCGTTCTGGTCCTACGGGGATGATTTTCACCTTTTTTCTAGATCTGACCCATTCTTTAGGCAGATGTGAATATGAACAACAACTTACAACCTGAAACTACTACTATATGGAACATCGGTTGTAATTGAAAAATAAATAGAAACCACCTACCAACCTTGAAAAGGTTGTGTGTAAACAGAGCGCCCTCTTGGTCGATGTGCTGGCACCTACCCAGAGAGGCGTGCCGCGCAGAGTGGCCGGGCCGCGCCGTCGCACCGCCTCTGTGCCCGGGGCCTGGCGCCGCTTCCGGGGTTTGTGGGTTCTCGCGCCGCGGCCGGTCCGCGAGGCCTGAAAGCCACTGGACAGTGGACGCGGGGCCCAGGTTCTCCGTGTGGCCCCCAGCCCCGTCGTCACACTGCAGTCACATAATTGCGCAGAACTTGGACTGGCCCGTGTCCCGGGAGACCTCGCGCTTGTTCTTGTCGCGGACCAGGATGGCCTCGTTGCCGTACTGTGAGTACCACATGCTCCGGCTCCTGCTCAGGTAGGTCCTGGGCGGCACCGATTCCAGCTGCTGCTGCTGCTGCTGCCAGATGAGCAGGGAGGTGTCCCGGTACCGCCGCCGGGCGTAGCCTTCCGACAGGGCTTTCTCTGCCAGCGGGACGCGGCCGCTCATCCCGGGCTGGAGCCCCCAGCCTGCGCTCCGGCGCCTGAGGCCGCTCTGGGCCAACCCTCCCCGCCGCTTTGCACTAAATGCGCTGAGAATTCCTCCTTTACCTTAATGGTAGAGGCGAGGGGTCAGGCTGCTGGTGGGAGGCGCCCCTCGGAGGGGGTACTTGTGGGAGGCTTGAGCCCCTGAGCGTTCTGAAGATGCCGAAGAGCCACCGGTGACACAGCAAGCGGGTCCGCGTGGCTCCCTGCCGACAGCTGTGGGCACTTCATTAGGTGTGCAGCAGACTGGGCGCCTGACTCGGGGAGATGGACCGTCGGGTGTCTACCGTGATTCTGACAACGCAGCTTGGACCGCTTAACTTGAAAAGACCTACGCACCGTCCTGGCTGGAAGGACATGGTACAGCTAGACAGATGCTGACGCCTGTGCCCAGGGCCGCCTCCCCCGCGCAGGGCGATCTGGGACTTGTCAGGGGTGTGGTGGCGGCGTTGCTCGGAGCCTCGGGTCCGGCTAATCGGCAGCTCTTCCCCAGGGTGACGCTGCAAGAAACGAACGCGCCGTCAGCTGTGGCGGGGGGCGGGGCGGGGGGGTGCGGTGGCGATGAGGTTTCACGGCACAGAACCTTGACTCCGGAGCAGAGTGGTGAAGCAGGGCTGACGACCCTTGCCTGTGTTCCTCGCTCCGGGATGAGCCCGACCGAGCCTAACCCTCCTCGGTTTATTCACTAAGGGGTGGGGGCTTCCTGGCAAACTGCTTATTGGAGGGTTCGCGTCTGCTGCAGCGGAGCAGGTCCTCAGAACCTGAAGAGGCCCAGGTCACCAGGGGCCGCTCCCAGCAGGCCCCCGACCTGCCAGGAGGGCGTTCAGCCAGGCTGCCAGGCCGGGGGCGCCGGCACTCACCCAGCCTCCAGCTCCTTCTTTCTGCTTCAGGGGCATCGGGAGGACCCTGGACCGGAACGAAAAAGGCCGCCGGTGAAAAACCAAACGAGAAACCTGCGCAGCACCCCTTCCCCTCGTCCAGTCCCGCCACGCTGCTGCTGAGTTCCTCTTACCCCCTGCCTGCGTCCTGGATCCCCCCACGGCACGTCCCCACCGACTCCCAAGCATCATGGGTCCCCCCCACGGCACGTCCCCATTTTCTCCCCAGCATCCTCGGTCCCCCGCGCCCGACTCGCACCCCAGGTCCCCCCATGACCTGTCCTCATCGCTTCCACAGCATCTTAGGACCCCTCCCCGCACCGCCCGCCCGCCCGCGCCGCAGTCACCCGCGCGGCGGGGTTCTCGGAGACGCCCGGGGCGCCGGGCGCGGCGGCTTCGGATTCAGGCGGCGCCAGTTGGCCCGAGGGCCGCGTCTCCATGGCAGCGCCGCAGGCATGCCGAGCCGAGCGCCCAGTCCGGGCAGGCCCGCGCGACGAGCTGGAGCCATCGATCGCCCCGAAGGGCGGGGTCGGAGCGCGGCCCTGTGGGCGGGGCCCGCCGCCGGAGGAGGGGGACGGGCGCGGGGCGCACCGGCTGGGCGGGGCTCCGAGCGCTTTCCCGACAGGGCTTCCGAGCCGCCGCTCCTGTCCTTTCGCTGTGGCCGCTGCTGTCGCTGTTCGCACTCACCGCCAGTGACCGATGCAGCGGCTTTTTAATAATTTAACGCTGTGCGGGCGCGTCGTCGGAGTCGGGTCTCGAATTCGCTCTCGCCGCCGCCGCCGACCCTGCGCCACCGGCCCTCTCCGGGCTCCCGTCCTCTGCCTGACTGCAGCTTTATTAAAACGGGCTCTCCAAGGCCAATTAGGAAAGCGGCGCAACGGGCACCCCGCAGCGCCGAGCCCACAGCTGTGCGAGGCACTCTGCGAGGGCGCGGGACGTTTCCAAACAGAGCCCCTCCGCCCGCCCCGGCGCCAGTTCCGGCGCGTTTCAAAGCGCATTCCTCCTGCCTGAGTAGGTCACGGGAAAAGTCGCCTCTAAAGCGGCAGTGACCCGGTAACTAGAAGAAAACCCATATATTTGATCATTGAGAATACATACTTAAATTTCTTACGGGCCAAAGAGGAACCCGCAATACAGATTAAAAAAATAAAGTAAAGGCATGATGACAGAAATACAGCGTATCAAAAAGCGTGGGTTGCAGCTAAAACCATGCCTGGGGAAATGCGTAGCCTTAAATGCGCATCTTCGAAAATGAGGTTAAGAATTAAAGAGCTAAGCATCCATCTCAAGATGTCAGGGGTCAAAAACAGCAAAAGTTAACCTAAGTAAAGTACATGTAATGAGGATGAAGGAAGAAATTAAGTAAAAAATACAAAATATGATCAAGAGACTAACAAAAGTAGTAGGCCTCCGATTAAGAAAATAGAAAGAACACAAAACTAAGATAAAGAATTACAGGGGCCCTGGCTGATGGCGCTCCGTGGACTGAGCGCCGGCCTGCGACCCAGAGGGCCTCCAGTTGGATTCCCGGCCAGGGCACAGGCCTGGGGTGCGGGCCAGGTCCCCAGTAGGGGGCGCGCGAGAGGCAACCACACGTCGATGTTTCTTTCCCTGCTTTTCTCCCTCCTTTCCCTTCTCTCTAAAAATAAATAAAATATTCTTTAAAAAGAAAAGAATTACAGAGAATTCTAGCTTTGCGCAGTTCCGTGTCGTAGCCAATGAGGTTTATCCGAGGCGCGATTATTGCTCATTGAAAACGTTCCCCAATACCCCGCAGCGACTTCAGGGCAGCATGCCTGGAACTGGAGAGCGTTATGCTAAGTGCAAGAAGGCAGGCGGCGAAAGACAAGTACCACGGGATCTCCCCCTGTAAGTGGAACCTAATCAAGAAAACAAACAAGCAGACAAAATAGACCAGAGACAGGGAAATAAAGAGCAAACTGACAGTAACCAGAGGGGAGGGGGCGGGGGGAGGGTAACAGCGGAAGGAAGGGGAAGGGTCGCCAAGGAACATGCATAGAGGACCCGCGGACAAAGCCAGAGGGGGGAGGGTTGAGGGTGGGTTGTGGGGGTGGGTGGAGCGGGGAAGAGTAACGGGGGGGGGGGGCGGGGGGAATGGAGACAACTGCAATGGAAGAACAATCAATCAATCAAGAGGCTCCTTTTCGTCCAGAACAACCACCTTCCAGTAACTCACCAAAGTGACCAGCACAGAGGGAAGGCGGAGTGGCCCCAGGACACGTTCCGGGGGCCTTTTCGAAGCAGGGAGTCGCTCCCCTGGCCGCGCACCTGTGAACCCCCAAGAAAGGTGACATCGTGGACACCCAGGGAATGGGCATGGTCCAAAAGGAACGCCCCGCGTGGAAAAGTCCGCAAGGCCACCCAGCATGCCCGGGCATTGTTGTGAGCGAAGGAGAGCAAGGTTCTTGCCGGGAGAATCGACGCACGTCCTGACCGCAGGCAGCCCTCCGAGGGCCCAGGTGGCTCCCTGCCCAGGCGTGTGGAGGAAGATGATTGGAGAAAGGAGGAAGCCGCGGGGGAATGGGCGGTGCCTGGCGCGCCCGAGCGCTGCCCCAGCTCCGCCCAGAGCCGCGCTGCGGGAGGGCCCGCTGGGACCCACTCCCGGAGCATTGGCGGCACGATGGGTGTGGGAAAAGAAAAGACCCCTGTACTAGTATTGAAAAAAAAAAAAAAAGAACTAAAGAGGACTTACAACGGAAGCCGTGCACGTTAAAAAGATGATAAAATAATACTATGAACAGCCTGATGTCAATAAATCTGTAAATTCCGCTAAGGGGCCAACCTCTGGGAAGATACAGTTCATCGGGATGAGCACAAGAAGAAACAGACAGCTTATATAGTCCTTCGAAAGAGTGGGATCTGTCACGTCAGCCCTCCCCCAAGGCAGCGCTAGGCCCACATGGCGACAGTGGAGAATCCCGTAAGCATTTAAGGAGGTCATACACTCGCGCTCACGCCAAGGTCTCTGGCGGGCGTCAGGGAGGGAATAGTGTCCAGCGCATGTTCTGCCCTAGCCTGGCCTGGGCCTCAAAGCTTCAGGGACAGGCCGGGAAAGGGCCGCTGTCGGCTCCTCTCGCGCAGGAGCATCGAGGTGAGACGCCCAGACGAAACGGCCGGTCTGTGTGGTGGACGTGCAAACACACACACAGCCTGGTGACCGGGTCGGGGTTACACCAGGTTCGTCCGCTGTATGTCGCCACCGGAACAAATGAAAGAAGGAAAAGCATGTGGCCACTTCGGTGTCTGCGTTTGACTCAATGTAATTTTCACGGTTAAAAAAATCTTCTTGGAAAGCTGGGAGTAAGATTTGAATTTGTTTGCCCCGGGCAGGTAGCCTCAGTTGGTGGGACGGTCCTCCCATGGCACCACGGTTGTGGGTCCGATCCCCAGGCAGGGCACATACAAGACCCAGCCGAGGAATACCATATTTGGCCGTGTATAAGGCGCACTTTTTGACCCAATTTTTGAGGGAAAAATAAGGATGTGCATTATATATGGGTAGTACTAATTCCACATCTATATAAATGTTTTTCATTGTTTTCTTCATGCTTATGCGTTAAGAGTGTAACTCTAGGAAGCAGTAACAGTATCCATTTTGTTTCTAAATATAAATAAATACATCATTGAATTAAAAAATTAAAATGAAAAATTTTTTTTTCCTGAAACTTTGGGCCCAAAACGTGGGTGCACATTATACACATGGCAAAATACGGTTCATAAATAAGTGGAACAACAAATCTCTCCCTCTCTCTTTCTCCCTCCTTTCCTCTTTCTCTGAAATCAATCATCAAAACAAAACAAAACACAAAACCCAAAGGCTCAAAAATGGCCCAGATCCTCCTGGGGAAAAAACCAGCGTGAAGACCTGCTTCCCTGGCCTGAGATGTGTCGTGGCTGCGGCACCTGAGCCCCCGACGCGAGCGCCCTCGCGGATGTGCCGAGGGAAAGAAACTGGCAGCTCACCGGGCCGAGCACGCAGGCGACATTGCAAGGCAGGGGAAAGGGTAGGCGTTTCGCGGCTTGGTCCCAGGGCCACCGGATGTGGCCATGGAAAAACCTAAACCTGAGTTCTCACGCTGCCCAAAGCTAAACTCTGTGTGGACTGCAGACCTCAACGTGAACAGAGAAACGTTCGAGATTTAACAAGATAACGGAATAGGATATCTTTGTGATCTTGGGATGAAGAACTTTTCAGTTTTTCTGAAAACAGGCCACAAACGAACCTTAACGTGAACAACAGGCTCATGAACACATACATTGATTCCCACGGGGGGCGTGCGCCGAGCTCCGATGTGGCCGCACATGTGCCCTGGAATTAAACAGCTAAGTAACAGACAGCGTGGGGCAGGAGCCAGCTTGTGTCTGTCGCGTGGAGGGACAGCTCAGCCGGGGAGGTGCTAGAAGCACCTCTGTGGGGCGGATTAGAGCTGGAGACCTCAGGGGAAGCCCACGTTTAGCTTCACATAAAGACACATGTTTTCATAGAGGAGGGTCCCTGGACATGCGTGCATTCACCGGTGCGCACACGGGAACTTCCTGGAGTCGTCAGCTGCGAGGGCCCAGAAGCAGCGACGCCCTGATAGCCAGGAGCCCACCTACTGCTCAAGCCTTGCTTTCGACGTTCTCCGCTGAGAGGAGGCAGGGCCCTTGGAGAAGGAAGTGGCTGATTGCAGGGCTGGACAGGACGTACCCATTATGGCCTGGAGCATCTTGTTGTGCAGGAAGTAAGGGCGTGCTCCAAAACAAAAAAACCAACCCACCCACCCACCCCAAAGTGGGAGCCAAGGGTGGTATCTGTCTCTCTCTCTCTCTTTTTTTTTTTTTAGATTTGGTTTATTTACTTTTGCGAAGAGGAGAAGGGAGGGAGAGAGAGAGGGAGAGAAGCATCGATGTGTGAGAGACACATCGATCGGTTGCCTCTCGCACGCCCCCCAACAGGGGATCCAGCCCACAACCCAGGCCTGTGCCCTTACGGGGACTCGAACCAGGGACTTTCGGTTGTCATGCTGGTGCTCAGCCCACTGAGCCACCCCAGCCAGGGCGCGTTTTTAGTACGACATTTCTTGAGCTATAATTTGCATTCTACACGGCACACCCACCTCAGGGTGCCGTTGAATGGCGTTCCGTACGCTCAGAGTTGTGTGGCCGTCACCTCAATTTTAGGCCGTTTTCATCACCCCCGAATGTGACCCTGCGCCCACTGTCCCCGCCCCATCCCACGCACCGCCCGACCCTGGCCACGCACTCACCTGTCTTCAGCCCCTACTGGTCCCTCTGTTCTGGACGCCTCATGGACACGGAATCACGCCGCGCACGGCCTTTGCGTCTGGCTTCTTTCCCATGGCTCCGAGTGCCTGCCTTCCTTCGTGTTGTGGCGGGTGCCGTGCTTCAGTCCTCGGTGACACGCGCGCCCTGTGACACTGACCCCCTTCACCGCGTGTCTGCGCACAGCTCAGTGGCACCAGGTGTGTTCCCAGTGTTGTGCAGCTGTCCCCACCGTCATTTCCAGAACCTTCCATCTCTCCAAGATGAACTCCGCCTCCATTAAACACTTACTCCCCACGGGCCCCCCCTCCCAGCTCCAGGCAACCACCCTCCTACTTCCTGTCTCTACAGATTTACTGATTCTGGACATTTCCTGTATGTGGAGTCATATAAGACACCGAGGTCTTTTGGTGTTTGGCTTTTCTCACTTAGCAAAATGGTTTAGAAGTTCCTCTTGTGCCCCGGCCAGTGTGGCTTCGTTGATGGGAACTTCGTCCTGTAACTGAAAGGTTGTGGGTTCGATTCCCGGTCATAGCACATACCTAGGTTTCAGGTTTGATCCCCAGTCCAGGCGCACACAGAGGCAACTGACTGATGCTTCTCTCTCACATTGATGTCTCTCTCTCTCTCTCCCTTCCTCTTTAAAAGCAATGAAAAAATGTCCTCAGGTGAGGATTTAAAAAAAAAAAAAAGTTCAGCCCTGGCTGGTGCGGTTCAGTGGACTGAGCCCCGGCCCGTGAACCAGCCCTGGTCGCTGGTTCGATTCCCAGTCAGGGCACAGGCCTTGGTTGCAGGCCAGGTCCCCAGGAGGGGGCGCTGGAGAGGCGACCACACATGGATGCTTCTCTCCCTCTGTTTCTTCCTCCCTTCCTCGCTCTCTAAAAATAAATAAATACACTTTTTAAAAAAAAGTTCACGTTGTAGCATGTGTCACAACTTCACTCCTTCTCAGGTCCCAATAACGTGCCGTTCTCTGATGGACCGCACCGCCTTCCTTCCTGCATCGGTGGCCGCTCGGATCGCGCCCGCCTGTCGCCTGACGTGGACAGCGCCACCCTGCACAGGCCCCTGCAGAGCCCGTGGGGGCGCGGGGGCGGCAGGGAGCGCGATCAGCGTTGTGGGTTAGAAAGGTCACCCCCTCAGGGGCGGGGGCTGCAGGGGTCAAGTGGGGAAGAGACCAGAAGGACGCGGCCGGGCCTTGGGAAAGGGTGATGCACAGCTGCCCTCAGCTCGGAGCCACCCCCCAGGGCGCCTGTCACAGGTCTCCCAGGACCGGGCGAAGCTTGCGGGGGCTGGGAGGAGGCGCAGGCACTCGCCATCCGCGGTCCTTGCTCTGACGGCGTGATGCCAGCTGCAGCGCTGAATCCTTCCCACCAGCGATCCCGTGGGACCGCCGCCCTGGGGTGGCAGCAGGTCTCCTGAAACCCGCGTCAGCGGCGCCCCGCCGGGGGGCCGCCCCCGAGCTGCCCCACAGGGCAGCCGCCACGAGCCACGCGTGGCTTCTGGGCTCTTCAGTGTGGCTTGCCTGACTAGGGAGCTGAATTTTTA